ATTTTTCACTTTTTTTTTTTTTTTATTTTATTTTTTTTAAATAATAAATTTTATTTTTTATTCCCCCATACAATTGCAAACGCCCCATTCTGACCCCAATCCCTCCCCTCCCGCCCCCCCCCCCCCAAAAAGTGTCTCTGGTTCATAGTTTTTGTTGATTTTGATTTTCACTTTCTTATATTCATTTTCCTGGTCCCTTATTTAAGTTTTCTAGATTCCTGCTATGAGTGAGACCATCCGGTATTTTTCTTTTTTTTTGGCTTATTTCGCTGAGCATGATCCCTTCCAGCGCCATCCATGTTGCTGCAAATTGCATGTGTTTATCTTTTTTGAATGCTGAGTAATATTCCATGGTATATATGTACCACATCTTCTTGATCCAGTCATCTATTTTTGGGCATTTGGGTTGTTTCCAAAGCTTAGCTATTGTAAACAGTGCTGCTATAAACATAGGGGTGCAGGTGCTCTTTGGAATTGATGTTTCTGTGTCCTTTGGGTAAATACCTAGGAGTGGAATTGCTGGATCATATGGAAGCTCTATGTTTAGTAGGTCCAGAAATCTCCACACAGCTCCATAGTGGTTGGACCAGTTTGCACTCCCACCAACAGTGCAGAAGAGTTCCTTTTTCTCCACACCCTCGCCAACATTTGTTGTTGCTAGTTTTTTTAATATGTGCCATTCTCACTGGTGTAAGATGGTATCTCATGGTAGTTTTGATTTGCATTTCCCTGATGACAAGTGATGTTGAACATTTTTTCATATGCCTGTTGGCCATTTGCATTTCCTCTTCAGAGAAGTTTCTTTTTAGCTCTTCTGCCCATTTTTGACTGGATTATTTTCTTTGTTGTTGTTGAGTCTCATCAGCTCTTTGCAGATTTTTGTGATCAGTCCTTTATCATTAGTGTTGGGTGCAAAAATGTTCTCCCAGTTGGTGGGGTTTCTCTTTGTTTTTGTTATTGTCTCTTTTGCTGTGCAGAAGCTCTTTAATTGATGTAGTCCCAGCTGTTTATCTTTGCCTTCACTATCACTGCTTTGGGTGATGTGTCTGTAAAGATGTCTTTGATGTGCAAATCCCGTAGTGTTTCGCCTATATTTCCTTCTATGTATTTTATGGTTTCAGGTCTTATGTCTAGTTCTTTAATCCATTTTGAGTTGATTTTTGTGTATGGTGTTAGGTAGTGGTCAAGCTTCATTCTTTTGCATGTAGCGACCCAGTTTTCCCAGCACCATTTATTGAACAAACTTTCTTTGCTCCAATGCATAGTCTTTGCTCCTTTGTCAAAGATTAGTTGACCATAAATCTGTGGGTTTATTTCTGGATTTTCTATTCGATTCCATTGGTCTGTATGTCTGTTCTTGTTCCAATACCATGCAGTTTTGATGATTATGGCTTTGTAGTATAGTTTGAAGTCTGGGAGTGTGATGCCTCCATTCCCTTCTTTTTTTTTTCAGTAGAGCTTTGGCTATTCGGGGTTTTTGGTGATTCCATATGAATTTCATCAATAATTGTTCTATTTCTTTGAAGAATGCCATTGAGATTTTGATTGGAATAGCATTGAATCTGTATATTGCTTTTGGTAGGATGGCCATTTTAATAATGTTTATTCTTCCAATCCATGAGCAGGGGATGTCTTTCCATTTCTTTGTGTCTTCTTCTATTTCTTTTAACAGTGTTTTATAGTTTTCTTTGTATAGGTCCTTTACCTCTTTTGTTAGATTTATTCCCAAATATTTGATTTTTTTGTTTCAATAATAAAAGGGATGGTTTTTTTGATTTCTTCTTCTTCAGATTTATTGTTTGTGTATAGGAAGGCTACTGACTTTTGCGTGTTGATTTTGTATCCTGCCACTTTACTGAATTGATTGATGAGTTGAATTAGTTTTTCTGTGAAGATTTTGGGGTTCTCTATGTATATTATCATATCATCTGCAAATAGTGATAGTTTGACTTCTTCTTTTCCTATTTGGATTCCTTGGATGTCTTTCTCTTGTCTTATTGCTCTGGCTAGGACTTCCAGTATTATATTGAAAAGCAGTGGTGAGAGTGGACATCTTGTCTTGTTCCAGATCTTAATGGAATTGCTTTCAGCTTTTCACCATTGAGAATGATACTGGCTGTTGGCTTGTCATAGATGGCCTTTATGATGTTGAGGTATGTTCCTTGTATCCCAAGAATTTCAAGGGCTTTTATCATGAATGGGTGTTGCACTTTGTCGAAAGCTTTCTCAGCATCTATTGATATTATCATATGGTTTTTATATTTCTTTTTGTTGATGTGTTGGATAACGTTGATTGATTTTCGGATGTTAAACCATCCTTGTGCCCCTGGAATGAATCCAACTTGGTCGTGGTGAATTATCTTATGGATACATTGTTGGATTCTGATAGCTAAAATTTTATTGAGGATTTTTGCATCAGTGTTCATTAGGGAGATTGGCCTATAGTTTTCCTTTTTTGTGTTGTCCTTATTCGGTTTTGGTATTAGTGTAATATTGGCTTCATAGAACGTGTTTGGTATTGTCCCTTCCTTCTCAATTTTTTGGAAGAGTTTGTGAAGGATAGGCACTAATTCGTCTCTGAATGTTTGGTAGAATTCATTTGTAAATCCATCAGGTCCTGGGCTTTTGTTTTTGGGGAGGTTTTTAATTACCATTTCAATTTCGCTGCTTGTAATTGGTCTGTTTAGGTGTTCTATTTCTTCTTTATCTAGCTTTGGGTGATTGTAGAGTTGTAGGAATTTGTCCATCTCCTCTAGATTGTTGAACTTGTTTCCATATAACTGTTCATAGTAGTTACTGATTATTCTTTTGATTTCTGCTGTGTCCGTTGTGATTTCTCCTCTTTCATTTATGATCCTGTGTATTTGTGCTTTCTCCCTTTTTTCCTTTGTGAGCCTGGCTAGGGGTTTGTCTATTTTATTTATTTTTCCAAAGAACCAGCTCTTGGTTTCATTGATCTTTTGGATTGTTTTTTTAGTTTCAATTTCATTTATTTCTGATTTGCTTTTTATTATTTCTTTTCTTCTACTGGTTTTGGGGTTTTTTTGTTGTTCTTTTTCTAGATCTTTGAGCTTTGAGATTAGGTTGTTTCTTTGAGTTCTTTCTTGTTTTTTGATGTGAGCTTCTATTGCTATATATTTTCCTCTTATTACTGCTTTTGCTGCATCCCATACATTTAGGATATTGGTGTCCTCCTTGTCATTCAATTCAAAGAATTTTTTAATTTCTTCTTTGATCTCCTCGTTAGTCCAGTGGTCTTCCAGTAGTGTGGTTTTTAATCTCCATGAGGTAGGATAGTTCCTTGCCTTCTTTTTATGATTTATTTCTAGTTTGATGCCTTCGTGGTCAGAAAAGATGGTTGGTATGATTTCAATCTTGGTGTATCTGTTGATGTTTGTCTTGTGCCCCAGTATGTGATCGATCCTGGAGAATGATCCGTGTGCGCTTGAGAAAAATGTGTACTCCATTTTTTTTGGATTTAGTGTTCTATAGATGTCTGTTAAGCCCAAATGCTCTAGGTCCTTATTTAGAGCTTTAGTTTCTTTACTTATTTTTTGTCTTGTTGATCTATCCATTGTTGATAGTGGTGTGTTGAAGTCTCCCACTACGTATGTGTTTTCTCTGATGTCTGTTTTCAGAGAGGACAACAGTTGTCTGATATATTTTGGTGCTCTTTCGTTTGGTGAGTATATGTTAATGAGTGTTATTTCTTCTTGAAGTATTGTCCCCTTAATCATAATGTAGTGACCATTGGGGTCTCTTTTTATTTTTTTGAGTTTGAAGTCTGTTTTATCTGATATAAGTATAGCTGTTCTTACTTTCTTTTTTGGCCCATTTGCTTGTAGGATTGTTTTCCATCCTTTGACTTTGAGCCTATTTTTATCTTTTGTAGCTAAATGTGTTTCCTGGAGATAGCAAAAGGTTGGGTTTTGTTTCTTAATCCAGGCTGCAACTCTGTGTCTTTTATTGAAGAGTTTAGTCCATTTACATTTAGAGTTAATATTGATATGTTAGCATCTGTATTTGCCATTATGTGTGTCTTTCCTTTGATTTTATTTATTTATTCTTTTAATAACTTTTTTTTTTCTGGTCTTCTTTCGTGTTATTCGTCCCTCTGAGGTTCTGGCTTTAGTATTCCTTGTAGTATTTTTTGGAGTGGGGGTTTAGTCGTAATGAAATTCCGGAGTATCTCTTTGTCTGGGAAGGTCCATATTCTTTCTTCATGGAGGAAAGAGAGCTTTGCGGGATAGAGTATTCTTGGTTGGCATCTGTTTTCTTGAAGTCTGTTGACTATGTCCCTCCACTCTCTCCTTGCCCGTAGTGTTTCTTCAGAGAAGTCTGATGTCAGCCTGATTGGTTTTCCTTTGAATGTTATCTGTGTCTTCCCTCTTGTCAGCTTCATTATTTTTCCTTGTCCTGGATTCTTGGGAGCTTTACTATTATGTGTCTTGCTGTGTTTTTCCTTTCGTTGTGGAAGTTTGGTGTTCTTCTTGCTTCTGTATATCAATTTTCAGCTCCTTCTTCGCATTTGGGAAGTTCTCTTCAATTATCTCCTGAATATTTTCTCTGTTCCTACATCTCTCTCCTCTCCTTCTGGAATTCCTATAACTCTTATATTTCCTTTCCTCATGGAGTCAGATAGTTCCCGAAGTCTTTCTTCATTCTTTTTCCTTCGTACTTCTCTTTCCTTTTCTGTTTTGGTTCTTTTTATTTCTGTGTCTTCAAGAGCACTTATTCGTTCTTCCATTTCATCTATTCTGCTTTCATTGCTTTTCCCAGAGTTCTTTAGTTCCTCCATTAATTCTTTGATCTCCTGCATTTCTTTTATTTCCCTCTTTAGGGACTCTATTTCCTTCTTCTGATCTATCACTTTTTTAATCATGGCAATTTTAAATTCTCTTTCTGGAAGGCTCAGAAGTTCTTCCAAGTTGCTGTCGTTGCAATCTGGGGAGTGGTTTTCTTTTTGTGGTGTGCTTCTTTCCTGAGGAGTTGTTAGGTTGCGTGTGGTTCTTCTACTCCCTACTGTCTGTTTTCTAATTTGTCGTATGCGTTGGGACACTGTGTTGCTCGGACTGACTGGCATCTTGGGTGAACTTCTCCGCTCCCCTCTGGCTCTTCCAGGAGCCATCTCTGTCTTCTGGGGGAGCTTTCTGCTGGTTTTAGGCAGTTTTTACTGAAGCAATGTCCCTGTTCTAAAATGGCGAAGCGGGATGCAGTCCCTGCGCCTCCGGTTTCAGGCACACTCTTCTGCGCCCCCGGTCTGCCCCGGACGTGGGTGCCTGCTCCCTCTGTGGGCTCAGACTGCTGGTCGGAAGGGGCCTGGCGTGGGGTGGGCTAACTTCCTGGCTGGCCACTGGGTCCTCCAAAAGCCTTCTGCCCTTTTCAAGCAGTCTTAAGAAATTTCTGTTCTATGGGGTGTTAGTGACTTTTTTTTCCTGGTCGCTAGGTGGCGCCAGAGATCTCTCCTATTGTCCTTGGGGGGCTGTTTTTCGCCCCCCCCCCCCCCGTGGGACAGGGAACAGAGCGGGAATGGTAGGGTAAACCTCAACAGCTTTGGGGTGCTGTGTCTGCCTTGTGCCCCACCATCGTGGGGAACCCACGCCCCTAATTTCGTGCCCCGGGTCTCAGTTCAAAGCCCTTAGGTCCAGGATGCGGGCTGTAGCCCAGGTCAGTGGCGCGGGAATGGCGCCTTTTGCACTGCTCCCGTGCTTGGGCGCCTGGTTCCTGCTCACTCAGGGAGGGACCTTCACCTCAGTGAGGACCTCCGCGTCTCCCCGCAAGCCTAGGTCGCAGGCGCGGGGACCTGGGCCCCTGTGATCCCGGTCCGCGTTTTCTTTTCAAGCGCGCCAAGCGCGCCGCTTTCCGCGCAAGCTTACCGGCAGCCCGGGCTGTGTGCGCGTCTCCTGGGGTCTTTGTTCTTCTCTAATGGCGCCTGGAGCTGTTCGCTCACCACCGCGGCGAATCCTGCAGGGTTCGCCTCAGCTCCCGTTCACGGGGTGTGGTGGCTGCAATAGTTCCTTTCCACTCACAGTCCCGCTTGCTGCATCGTTTGTTCTTGTTGGTTGTTTTGGTTTGTTGTTTTCCTCCTCTCTGCCGGTCGGAGAGTGCCGCCTCTGTGGGCGGGGGAGGGGAGCAGGGTTCTGCGCTTCCCTCCCTTCTGGTCCTCTTTTATGGCCACTTTTTTCTTCGGGCAGTTTGCTGGAGTCACCCGTTTATCTTCCGTGTCCCAGTTCTCTCTGGGACCTGCCGCTTTTCCTCCCTATTAACTTTTTTTAATGGGAGATCTTACTCGCAGCGTCTCCTCGCCGCCACGTTGCTCCCGAGAATTTTCTTTTTTTAATATACGACAATTATCTTTTCCCTTAAGAACTCTTTTGTTGTCTTCCATAGATTTTGGTGATTTGTAACAATATTTTTGTTTATCTCAGTGTATTTTTTAATTTCTGCTCTGTTTTCCTCTTAAGGCAATTATCATTAATCATATGCTCATAGTATTTCCTGTATTTTTATTTTAATCTAATAGTTGATTTTCTAGTTTCCTGTGTCTTTGTAAGTGATGCATGTCTGACTAATATTATTTTATTTGGGCTCTTTCACCTCTTGAGTCACAACTTAGATTCTGTTTCCCAGATTGACATGATTATTTCTTTAATTATGTTTCCTATGCTTTTTTTCTTTTTATTCTTCTGGGATTACCATGATAACCATATTTATTTCTCTTTAAGTGGTCCCAGAGAGCCCTCATACTCTTCCCATTTTTTCATTATTTTTTCTCTAACTCGTTTTTTTCTTGTGTTCTCCAACATTGTATTTTCAAGCTCACTAATTCTCTTCATTGCTTCCATTTGTCTGTTATTGAGGCCCTCAAGTGAATTTTTATAATCAACTATAGTGTTTCTTAACTCCATTACTTCAGAATCCAACTGCCTCATATTTTTTTGTTATCTAATTACATTGTTGCTTAATATGTTGGTTTTTTGTTTTTGTTTTTTTTTTAATTCCACCAGCATTTCCAGTACTGTTGCCCTGATTTCTCTTTCTCTCGTGCTGTATACCTTTTCAGGGATTATTTCCATAGTTTGTCTTTAATGCTCCATAACCTCACTGAGAGAGGGCTCATTTCAGGGTTCTCTTGTTCTGGCATTTTTACTCTTCTCTTCTGCCTTCTCTATTCAATTTTGTATGAATAGTGGGGGTAGGTTTTCAACTATTGTTTTTGCATCTGCTGGAGTATTTGGGGATATGGTACTGAAGGAATAATAGGTTAAAAAAAAAAAGGACAAGGTAATAGGCATCGAAAATTACATCCAATAGACTCAGGAATTTGAACTTCCTTCTGTGAGCCCTTTCTTTTGGGGAGAGTTGTAGGTGTTTTGGTGTCTGAGCCTGGGCTGGTTGGTGGCTGGTGTTTTGCATGTCTATCAGGAATTTAGTGATAGGCTTTTCCATAAGGAAGTCCAGGTACTCTGACCCAATTCAGGCTATATCTAGTCTGTGTTATGAACATCACATTCAAGTAGGTCCTCTGTGGCCCCATCACAAATGCTTTGCAGTAGTGCACAGTTGATCTTAGATGTGTGCTCATTCCCCTCCTTATCCAGTGCAGTGCTAAGTCTTAGGAGTTCTGGTGCTAGCATGTGCCTCAGTCAATAACTATATGGGGCTCTGCACCACAGCCTCTCCTCCCTCTTGTGAGCTGTAGTGTCCCATTATTACTCTAAAAACATTGGCTTTTTTCCCACCCATTTCTGATGGCTGATGCCTTTGTGTGTTCTGAAAATTAGTTTTTCTCTCATAAGTTTTTAGCTATTCTTTGAATCAGTTTTGTTGTGTTTATATGGAAGAGGCAAGTTTAGAATCTTCACTCTGACACCATCTTGCTGGACAGCCATACATTATCTTTGATTTAACTTGTTTTACTTTTTAGTATGCAAGCTTTGTTTTCACTCTCATGTAGTAAAATGTATCAATATTTCCTCCTATTTTATTTTGAATTTTATTTATTTATTTACCCCCATGGCACAGCAGGGCCTGGTAAAAGTTCCCTATAGAGGGTCAGAAAAGAAATATTTTAGAAACTGTGTATCATATGGTCTCTAAAGAAATTATTCATCTCTGCCATTGAGCTCAAAAACAATCATGGACAATATGTAAATGAATAGGTGTAGCTGTGTTCCATGAAAACAGGGTTGGGAAACAAACTTTAAATTCAAACTCATCATAAAATAGTCCTCTATTGTTCAGTAATTAATTTGTGAATAAAAATTTGTTTATTCTTTCTTAGTGGGAATTATAAATTAGATGCTTTTTTTTTCTGCTTAGGTTTCATAGGCAGGATGCATAGTGGTTACAAGGACAGATACTGAAACAAGAAACCAGCCCTATACCCCTTCACTAACTCATTGACCACAAATGAATAAATAGCCTTTATATGACTTTTTTCCCATTTATAATACATGTGTATCATGGTAGTGTCAATGATAAAGTGTCATTGAAGCTTTTAATATAAAGCATTTAGAATAGTGGCTGAGAAAGAGCCGTAGCTCTGAAGGAAAAGTCACAGTGATCCTGGGCAAGCTGACAGCAAAACCCTGGGATGAGGAAGATGGTAGGGAACCCACCTAATATCACTGGGTGTGATATTAGGTAACCCCCTAGCCTCCCAGGGCACATGAGAACTGCACAAAAGCAAGTGCACCGGCAGGGCCCTAACAATCCATCAAGTAGAAGGAATATCTGTCTTCCTCCCCCATGAGGAAAGGAGGTAAGCTCCACCCCCCCATTCTCATACAATATATATGGAATAAATAAACACTGGTTTCTTCTTGATGGCCTGAAAGAGTTGAGGAAGCAGGGAATCTTGTAGTTTTAATGTGATTTTATCTCTCTTAGGCTCAAATTATTCATATTCATGTTGAACAATGAAGGTGACTTTGCGGAAGTGCTGTGATGACTGTAGAAGATGAACTATCTGGACATTTCCTGGCACTCAATGATTTTCTGTTTTGAGTCTGATACATATATTTACAGGTTATAGCTGAACAGTGATAAAATAGTTCACAACTCCCTTTCTGTAGGAAAGGGTGTGCAGGATGGGCTCCCAGGTGTGAGGCCTCTGTGGTACCCATATTGGGAAGGATGTGGGTGGGCAAAGCCCTGAAGCTGGCTTTTGTGAAGGTGATCTTGACAATTGTAATGGTGTGTGAAGTGGGGCATAGTAGTACGTGGCTTCATCTTCTTTCTCTAAGAAATTAATTTGCAAAGTGGAAGTGGAAGTGGAAGAGTCTTTACTTGCTTCAAGTTTGATCTTCGAACCTATTTTCTCCTGAGTGGGTTTTGTTGTAGATACAACATATGTTAGATGTTCTATATTCTGGTTAGGCTTCTGTCGGTACCAGTGTATGTAATCATTGTTAAAGTCATACTGATCGCTGATGTACACCTTACAAGTTATGCGGGAACTCTTTTCTTTTATCTTGGAAACTAACATTTTAGGCTGCTCCAACAACTGTCCAACACCAACTGCAAAAAAATAAATGAAATTCCCATGAACAATTGATTGACACGGAGGCAACAATAAAAATTTTTCTTAGTGTCTCCTGTAAATGAAAAGGAGGGAGGCAACTTACAAGCCCAGAGGGAAGAGAAGATGACAGCTTCCAGGAGAGGCATCCTGTTGGCTGGCTGGCTCCCAGGGAGAAGGTAAAAATGTGAGGTCCCTGTGAGCAGGAGGTCTGAGGCCAGTGCTGGGAGGGTGGAGCTGGTGCTGGTGTCTGATGGGGAAGAAGTGGTGACTGGTAGTTTACTGGGGTTCTGCATGGTCTGCTGCAAATATGAGAAGCTCTGTGGTTTCCTGCACCATGAGAGCTGACAGGTGTGGCAAGAGGGTTCAAGATCTAGGAAGAGATGCCTGGTATGAAATTTCACAGGGCCAGAAATATTCTCTTATCCACTCAGCCGTCCCCCCGAAATGCCACAATGTGAGATCATGATACAAACATGTGAGGACATACCTGCTCTGTTCAGCCCCTATGTCTGTCTTTCTGCAATGTGCTGGTAATTCAGCTCTTGTGTATTAAACCTTAACTTTCTATAACACAAGAAAACAAATTTGGAAATTGTACTATCTCATCAAAGCTTTTTAATGTGCCTTAGGCACATGTATTGGGTTATTTTTATGTTTTTTCATTTAACAAGATATTTCATACAGATTAAGACTCAGACATCAAATTTCATTTATATTCTGGGTAACTTCAAGAAAGGGAAGGTCTGCAGTTGCTGTGAGACAGAGCAAACTGTGGAAACCAGCTTCTACTCACCCTGAACCTTGGAACTCTTGTCTTAACATGGATTATTAGCAACGAGGAGCCGGTGTGCTCTGTTACTGCTGCGGCTGCGGCTGCTACTGTGGCTGCTGCTGCTTCTCACCCTGGTCTAGCTGTGAAAGCCAGGAATTTAGTCCTTAAACCCCTGTGAGTTCTTGTTCCATGAAGCCATAAAAAGGAATTCGTAGGCAGACTCTCAGATAAATAAGTGGGGAGAAGCAAATCTTTAATTAGAGAGTAGAAAAATGTTTATTTAGAGGAAAAAGAACAAAAGCGAAGACTCCAAAGTAATGATGCCAAGGAGCAGGAAAAGACGCCGCCATGAGCCCGTGTAAAGGGCATATTTAAACCTTTTTTTTTTTTTTTTGGCCTATTTTAAAATATGTAAAGAGACAGTTCCCTTCGTTAGCTCTTAGCCTAATAAGGAAGAAAACTTTATGTTTTAATTGAGACTGAAACTAAGCTGCTTCTATTCTAGTTGTAACTAACAGGTTAAGAGCAGGGGTCCTGAAGCCAGGCGGCTTGGATCAAATTACAATTTGTGGCTTATTAACTGCCTGACATTGGGGATGTGCTTTCACCTCTCAGCTGCAGTTTCCCGGTTATAGATCAGAGATCATTGTTCTGGCTCACCGGGCTCTTGTGAAAATAGTTAGCATGTACTTAGGCCAGTGCTCACTCCGCTCTCTGTATTCTTTAGAAAGTTAAACCGTGATTATGTAAATTATAGTATTAATTGAAGTTATTGAATTTAAACACTTTCTTCCAATGGTGGTTAAACTCAGTGCAGGGTTTGGAAGGACAGAGAGCAGGTTTTCAGATCCAGCAGACTGGGTAAAGGAGGAGTGTAGGGTAAAGAAAATATCAGGCTTTTCTGCCCTTCCGCCATTAGGATAGATGATGGATCCTTGTCCTGAATGCATGCCTGATGGCGGGCACCTGGAATAGGGTGTGGGCATAGGTAGATGGGATTCAGCTGAGCTAAGACTGTGCTTTTAAGGGCGGCGTCACGGGGGGACGCCAGCAGCCCCAGCCAGCAGCAGCAGAACCTGAAGGAGAAGCCGACGCAGAAGCAGAGAACGCCAGAGAGCCCAGATAGAGTAAAGATTTGCTGGGGGCTGGGAGGCCTGCCAGCCTCCCAGCCCCCCAGCCAGCACCCCTGCCTGCCATATGCCTGGTGAACCCCAATAAAGGACCTGCAAAACTACTGAGGACTCTGACTCCTCCTTTACCCGGTCTGCATGGGATCAGAAAACCTGCCTTGTGCCCTGTCCTGCCCCTTACAAGGAGTCAGGCACATGGCAGGCAGGGGTGCTTGGGGGCTGGGAGGCCGGCAGTGCTCCCAGCCCCCAGCAAATCTTTATTTCTTTACTCTATTTGGGTTCTCTCTGGCATTCTTTCATGACCTTGCTTCTCTCTCTCTCTCTCTCTCTCTCTCTCTCTCTCTTTCTCTCTCTCTCGGCTTCCGTTCGTTCTTGGCTTCTGCTGGCATCCCCATGACGCCGCCCTTAAAAGCACAGTTTTAGAGCAGGTGTACCCACTCCAGGTGCCCGCCATCAGGCATGCATTCAGGACCACATGGTTCCCTCATCTATCGATATAGCGGGAGGGCAGAAAAGCCCGGTACTTTTTACCTTACCCTATACTCAGGTAATGTGACGTGGTCAAGAACAAATGACACAGTGAGAACATGGCCCAATGTCAGTCTTTCAGGGGTCAGAAATTACTGGGTCAAGAAGATAGTTAACGTAACTCCTACCTCACTGTAGTGGTGGGAGGACATGGACTAGGATCTCTATGACTCCAGCAGACAGGTGAAGGAGGAGTCCTGGAGCCCTCAGTGACTTTTTAGGCTTTTATTGGGATTTACCAAGTACACAGCTGGCAAGGACTGCCAAGGGGCTGGGAGACCTGCCAGACTCCCAGAGCCCAAGTCTTCACTCTTCGTGGGCTCTCCGGCGTTCTGTGGTGGTCTCTGCTTCTCCTTAGCTCTCTCTTTTGCTTTCGTTCTATCTGCTTCTCTGTTCTTCTTGTGGTTCTTCTGGCATCCCCTTGACACTGCCCTTATAAGCCCAGTCTCACAGCCCAGGTATACTCACCTACACATGCCCACACTCCACTCCAGGTGCCACCATCAGGCATGTATTCAGGACCTCAGGGATCCGTCATCAACCCTAATGGTGGGAGGGCAGAAAAGCCTGATATCATTTACTTACCCCACACTCACAAATATAAGTGGACATGCCATGGTCTTCCACAAGGTAATTCTGAGCACCTCAGAGTCCACTCAGTCCATGGGAGGACTGGGGAGTCAGTGGGGTACATCTGCAGTGCTCCCTCATGTTATGCCTGAGATTCTGAGTCATTTCTTTTACGCCTCCCCCCCCCGCCCCCCATAGAGTAGCTGTGCATGGAGGACAGACCCCTCAGAATCAGGCAGGTTTCCTGTACCATTCATAACTAGGGGAGAAAATCCAGAGTGTATATGTGAGGAGATAAAATAGAGGCACCCACAAAGTCATTAAGAAATTCCCACTGACAACTGGAAGAATGTCTAATGAGAAAGCAGTGCATGTTTTGTCTTTCAAAATGAAAAAGAAATAGTAATAATGGGTTACAAAATACAGGCTTTGAGTTCAGAGACACAAGGTTTTAAGTATGCCAATTAGTTTCAAAACAGTAACTGAGCAACTAACTTAGACTCTCCAGTCTCTTAAACTGTGCACTATAATTGTTCCTACATCTAAGGTATCCTACATGGTTAAAAGGATGAACTAGTATGTGGTAGAAATTCACCAGCTCCCTACTCTATACACATCTGACCTCTATGCAGGGTGACAGGATGCATATGATTGTCAGTGTTTGTGTGTTTGTGTGTTGGTGGGGGAGTATCTACTATTAAAGAAGAGTCACCAATAGTAGATACTAATGTTGTGGGTTGCATATGAAAGTACTAATAATTCATCTAATCCCATAACACCTAGGGGCAGGGTGTTGTAACTTCCTTTTCAGATGAAGAAGGATGGCACAAAGATTCATGTAGCTTAACCATGGCCACACAGATGCGAACACCAGGCCCAGGATTCAAACCCAGGTGCACTGCATGCAGGTGCAGGAGCTTCCCCTCCTCCATGCTGCCACTCCCATGTTTGTGCGGCTCTCATGGATTATGTGAGGATCAGGAATCACGAGGCTTGTGAAACACTTCTGCATATTGCAAGTCATGGTTGATTTATTCAGTTGCCGTGGAAATAACCCAAAACAAATGAATCTTAAAAGTTTGCCTTTGAGGGCCTCCCCGGTGGCGCAGCGGTTGAGCACTGGGTTGCGAAGCTGCCCGCAGCCTCTGTGGCGCCGGTTCGATCCCCGGCTGCTCCCCGGCCACTGGAGGAGGGTCCCACATGGCGCGCAGACCTCTCCTGCCGCCCGCTGCTCCCCTCAGCAGTGTACTTCGGTCCTTCTGCCTGCTCTGCTCCCCGCTCTGGCTCTGGTGAATTCTCTCACCCTCCCGCGCTTCTGACTGTACCCAGTGCATGTATAAACAAAACAAACAAACAAATAAATAAATAAATAAAGCATGCCTCTATAAAAAAAAAAAAAAAAAAAAGTTTGCCTTTGCAAGAGAAGTAATTTCTACCCCTTCATTTGTCTGTGGCTTCCATAGAGCCAATGTCCCATAGAAAGTTCATAATTGCTATTTCTGGGAAAGAACTAGAAATATGTATTGACTCAGTTGTATGTATTGAGCTCTCTCCTTTTCTCAACTTCAACATCAATCAGATTTCAACAAATTGAAATACACAAGGACAAAAGCAGATTTTCATTTTTTAATTTGTTGTATTTATTATACAAAACAAGATACAGAATTGAAGAAGCAGAGAGAGCAGTTTCAGGGTGTATCAGATGAAAATCTTCAAGGCATTCATGTGGCTAAAGCGCACTAAGGGGATATGACTAGAAATTGCATCCTGACTAGTTAGCAGGCAGAATAAACGGGGTGAATAGAACAGTTTATGGAGGTTTTTGAGACATTAGAACTAAACAAACCTTCAGTCAGATATCCCTTGTCCCTGACACTGAAAATGGCAGAATTTGTTACAGAGTAAAATTTTCTGTTTGTTCAGGTTTTGAAAAGTCATTACACAATAATAATGAAGAAGAAGAGTACAAGAACTAAAATAACCCAAACCCTGAAAGCCGGTATGGCAGGATCCTCAGCAGAATCTTCCAGTGATAATAAATGATGAAAACTGCTTTACTGTTTTGTGCCACCATCTGTTAGGGAATCTTCCCATTGCAACAAGCTCCTCGTCTCCTGAACAGACTGAAGGCGATGATGGCAAAGTAGATCACGCTCTTGAGAAGGAGGAGGACGTAGGTGTAATAGGCAGAGGTGTGGGGGAACTGCAGCTGCAGTGACCCTAAGAAAAGTGCCGTAATTAGTTGTGGGTTTTTTTGAAATAAATCAGTTAATAAAGATGGGGGTCACAATAATTTTTTCCTGATAGCTAACACTGAAGTGACATTCACGTGCCACCAAAATCTGAAAGAAACAGCTACAGCCACCACCAGCACCAAGGACCACAGCAACAACAGTCTCAGGTCAAGTTCAACAACCTCCGCTACATTTTCATAGAACATTACAAAATATTGAAAAATAAGGTTCAAGTTCTTCTAAAAGAGTCTTAAGGGGAAAAAAATTGTGATAAGTTTTAGCATTTCTTCACCCAGACCATTTCTCTAAGTAAAAATAGGACTAAAATAATAATTTGTCCTTGATCAAATGCCAAAAACTTACTTTGAGATCTTTGCATGCAAATATTTAGTTTTCACTAAATCTATGATATTATTATCTTCCTTCCAATGTTATAAATCTGATTGTCAGAGAGGGAAGTAATTTGCATGATGTCATGCATTTAGTAAGTACAAGAAGCCAGATTTCAACTCCAACAACCTAACAATAAAGAATACATTCATAATGATAATTCTCTGTTTCCAAATGTAATATATACCCATACTTCAAAAGATTAAGCTTATGTGTAAGATTGAATTGCTGATTCAGAAGTTGTCCCACATTATACATGTAATGATAGTCTGAGGAAAAGTAATCCACTGTTGACCCGGTGGGAGATCTTAGAAGAGGTTAATCCAAAATCTCTAAAACTTTTGGAGGTTATGGCTCACGCATTTCTCTTTCCTAAATGCATCTCATCGTGCTGATGATGTTATAGGATAACTTCATATAATATATTCACAATGTTCCAGGAAACATATGATGTCAAGAAATAAAAAGAGACAATGACTCTGGCCAGGCAGGCCACTCAATGAACCAAAGGGTGATTAAGTCTCTTCCTTTGTAAATCTCCCTTTCACATGCTTATCTTGATAGAGTCAGAACTCTAAAAGCAGTGATAAAAGGAATTTCAAGTGGGGATTTGTTTATGATTCCCTACCGTCATCAGGTAAGGCATTAGATAAGGTCTTAGCCCTTTTGATACTGGAAGATCAACAAGGTTGGAGCCATTGCTATTAGTCATTTTCTTTATACATATGCAGAGGAAAGAAATAGAAACTGGTCCTAATTCTGTGCCAGCTAAAGGAGACATTTCACAAGGTCACTTTATCTCTTCAACATCTGAGTGAGGTGTAAGTATTCCCAATTGATAGAGGAAAAGCATTGCTCAGAAAATGTAAGTTGTTTGTCCATACTTATGAAATGAATACTCAAAGAACTAGAGTCAAAATCGGGTCTGCAGTACTCTCAGGCCCATGCACTTCTCCTCCCTACCTCCAGGTGTCCACTATATCTCAGGACCTTAATGTTGGGATTTCTTGCCCCGAAACTGTATCTTAGAGGAAGAATGGAGAAGTGATTAATTGAAAATTCAAGATCTAACTGTGTGGCAGGGTACAAGGAACTTCATTAATCTTTGTTCATTGTTCTCTCTAAAACAATCTGGGGCTGGGGCGTGAGAATACTGCAACACCTCATGAGAGAATTATGAGAATTCAACAGAAAAAAATGCATTCCAAACATAGCACCATGAAGCTCTCAGTGTCAGTTCATGCCACTAGCTACTGGCAAGGACAAAAGACTTAAAAAATAATCTAAAAACAAGCTGATATCATGTTTTCCCATAATATTAGAAACCAAGGTAACACAAGTGAATAAAATAATTCAAAGCATAGAGCTGTGCACTCTAATCTCAGTCATCTCATACCCAAGCCAGTATTTACTGTGTTAAGATGCACATCACTCATTCTATTATATAAATCCATAGATTTTTTTCTACCTTACAACAGGGAAGCTCAAAAGCCAAGTGTGCAGAAGAAAAAATAGGTTATAGCAGACATAAAAACAAAGATGTACAAAAACTTACTACTTTCATCTTCCAGACTAAACTTTTTAAGGTAATTATCAGTATCTAGAAGGAATAAGAGCATGTACTAATTGTTCATGTTCACTATTTGACAGTGCATTTCTGTGTATGAAAATGATAGATAGATAGATAGATAAGCAGATGGATTGAGTAATTTTTTCTTTTTTACATCAATTTGAAAGTTAAGCTGATCAAGTGAAAAACGTGCTGTCGCGTTACAGAAAATCAAGGCATGTGCAAAAACTTACTGTTTTCATCTGTTACCACAGCGGGGGTGGTGTACTCAAGACCGTCTTCTTTTCCTGTTGGAGTCAGAGTTCCTAGCACGGTGGTTGTCTCAGTGTAGGTGTTCGAAAAATTCTCCTTGACTAGAAAAAAAAGAAGGGGCTGCTTTACAGTCTTCAGCACACACCACATATTGCTGACTTGAATGATCTGTACCAAAATGATTTATTTTATTCCTAGAGTCTACACCAAAATCTAACAGGTTGAAAGAAATGTGTTTTAGGAATAGTCTCAGCTATGCAAAGTGAAGCAGCCATACTTTTCCAAATTGTTGTAATGCCTACTCAGACACATGATTTTTCAAAGTTGTGGGTTTTGTGGACATGACAAAAATAGTTTTAAAAACCTTTAATCTACTATGATTATTACTGTGCAGGACCTGTGCTAAATTCACTATCTCATTTAATCTCCTAGTCACACTGAAGAGAATTGTGTCCTGGAGGGCTCCAGGTTACACAGGAGGAAATAGGTATCGAGTCACATCCGTGGTTGCAGAGTCAGCATTCAAAGGGTCTTTGTTGGAATTGAATGAGATAAGGCAGGTAGAAATCACTTATTAAAATTAATCCATAAAAAGAGAAAATAATCCGTAGGGAAATAACATAATTACACCGTTATGGGCAATGAAAAGAGCTTTTCTTCTAGAGGTACTAATTATTATTAGCAAATGACATTTTAACAAAAATCTACAAAGAGCTGACGAGACTCAACAAAAACAAAGGTAATAATCCAGTCAAAAAATGGGCAGAAGAGCTAAAAAGAAACTTCTCCAAAAAAGGAAATACGAATGGCCCACAGGCATATGAAAAAAATGTTCAATATCACTTGCAATCAGGGAAGTGCAAAACAAAACTGCAATGAGATACCATCTCACACCAGTGAGAATGGCACATATGAAAAAAACCAGCAACAACAAATGTTGATGAGGATGTGGAGAAAAAGGAACTCTCCTGCACTGTTGGTGAGAGTGCAAACTGGTCCAACCACTATGGAAAGCTGTGTGGAGATTCCTCAACCTATTAAAGATGGAGCTTCCATATGATCCAGCAATTCCACTCCTAGATATTTTACCCAAAGGACACAGAAACATTAATTCAAAAGGGCACCTGCACCCCTATGTTTATAGCAGCACTATTTATAATAGCTAAGCTTTGGAAAAAACCCAAATGCCCCAAAATAGATGACTGGATCAAGAAGATGTGGTACATATACACAATGGAATATTACTCAGCAATCAAAAAAGACAAACACAGGCAATTTGCAGCAACATGGATGGAGCTGGAAGGGATCATGCTCAGTGAAATAAGTCAGAAAGAAAAAGAAAAATACCAGATGGTCTCACTCATAACAGGAATCTAGAAAACTTAAATAAGGGACCAGGAAAAAGAATAAGAAAGAAAAAATCAAAATCAACAAACAACTATGAATCAGAGACACACTGTGGGAGGGGCAGGGAAAAGAGGGATTGGGGTCAAAATAAGGGTGTTGCAATTGTATGGGGAATATAAAAATAAAATTTTAAAAATATATTAAAAAAATGACATTTTAATTATAGGAACAGCATTTAGTAAACATCCTTCTAGGGAAAGGATGATAGAGCAAGTCATAATCATAGCTCTTTGATCATAAAAACCTTGAGGTGAGAGTTGTACTTACATCAATGTAGAAATGCAAAATAGCAAATATATATAAACATTTTGCAAATTTCAAATTTTTTAAAAAAATAATTGAACGCAGAGTGGAAGAAACAGTCACAACTGTTGTTTCAGTTTATCCTCTTCCTACCAGATGTGTTCTGTCCATAAGGACTTGGGTCTGTTATGCCATTTTACGCACTCAACGATAACTTTTTTAGATGTGTTCTACCAAAGGGGGTTTGAGGTTTAGGTTTTGGGTAAATTCCAAGAAAGAAATGTTAGTAAAATTATGTTTAGATGTTAAGTATCCTCAAAAACTGCCTTTTTATGTCTCGTCTTTTTGCTTACAGTGACTTTATTCATTGAAATGTAAATGACATCTTTTCATCATATACTGATTGAGGTAAAAACAAGGCAGCATTATTTTTCATAGTAAAATCTATGTATTCTGAGTTCTTTTTCCCAATAAAGATTAGCTGAAAATTTGGGTGAGACTGGTTTAATCTCTCTTCAAAATTACTTCATTTATTTTTGTAATACTTTTAACTTTTATCAGAAACAGAAACTAATAAAAAATCTTCCAGAAATGGCATTAGAAAGATCTTAACAGAAACAACCTCATCCCTTTTATTTCCATGAGAAGCCAATGGAAGACATTTTTTTCAGAACTAAGCACCAAGTAAAACACAGTATGAACTGAACTTCTCTCCTTGAAGGTAACCATTACCATGAATCTTGTTATGTTTCTCACTTTTCGCCATCACTTGAATAATCTAATAGGCATATAAGCCCAATCATTTGGCTTCAATCAAATACAAAGAGCTTACACTTTGTATTTTTGTTTTCCCTCCATTTCTTAGAATTAGAAAATTAGGCCACATTTTGTAATCTTACTTTAGCTTTTTTTAGGAAAAGATGTGCATAATACACACACACACACACACACACACACATATATATATATATATATATCATTGTGTTTTTAAAAACAAGTGTTTCACTGATGTTATTTCATTTTTTCTTTGTACAGTTCCAGGACAAGGCCAAGATTTGTCTCTGAATAAAATTTTATTGATGAAGAAATTTAGAATCCAAGAAGATAAAGGTTTATTTAGTTCAGAAATTTGGACAAGTATACAGAAAATATCACATTCAAATCTCTCCCTATACCATGTGGATGTGCACAGCCTTTGCATAAAGGGGCTTCTTTGGAACATCATTCCTTAATCACGAGTGACCCTCAGTGACTAGGATATGAGTATATCTATTTATATCTGTATGTAACTTGTATACAGTATATCTGTATGTAACTTGGACAATGTATAGTGTGTGTGTATATATATATATGTATATATATATATATATACACACATATATATATATATATATATATATATATATAAAACTGGGGATAGTAATTAATCTTAGTATATTCACTCCCACATCCCTTGCCAGGCCAGAAACATATGATTTACTACAATAAATGTTTGTGGAGCTGAATTTACCAATGGCAAGAATACACTCATTACATAGAATCAAAGTATGTTTATAGACATTATCCGCACCCATTTTAGATGAAATATATGCTAGTTTACAAGATACCTTAAAAAAATAAAAAACCTATGACCATAACAAAATTGCAGCAACCAAATTGAGCAATATTTGTTGAGACGTGATGGCTTCCTCAGGTCAACATGATTTTGTTGCCTAATAACTCATTTTTTATAGATTAAAATTTGAGCATAGCAAGATTAATGTAAGAGTGATGTTGCTTACAAAGTAGAACAGTTCTGAAAGGCATATAATTGTTTTTATTTCCTCATCAAGCAAATCATCAAAAGTGAAATCTCTGTGATATTATGTGCTAATTGCAAGATGCCTCCATGTATGTCTGTTTTAATACACTGGAAAATCCTAAAAAGCATCATTGTGACCTTAATTTTTTGGATGATATGACTGAAACTGAGAAAAATAAGTAAATTTTTCTTTTTTATGTTCAAAGCCGATATTGTTTTGATTCTGTAGGGAAATAGCAGCACGCTTATGCTACTGTTGAATTTAACATACTGGAAAGATGTAATAATTTTTGTTTTCATTCATATTTGACAGTCAAGGCAGTATCATCCTTTTGGGAGCAAAAGGTTTTTAGGGATGATGTAATTTACATTTATATACATACCTTCCATTATTGAAGGAAAGAAAATCTCTTGATCAATCCCTTCTCTGTTAAACTCGTGTTTGACAACACAAACGTGGCCTTTATCCATTGATGTTTCAGTTACGGTCAGCCAGCTGAACTTCATGTACGTGATGTACGTGTGAATAGTCCTGATGGTATCTCCCTCCTGTGACTTCAAAATTTTATCACCATTCTTTTCTTTCCAATCTATCTTAATAACATCAGGGTAAAATTTCTCAAGAATACAAAGATATGTTCCAGCCTTATGGAGGTTTATTTCAGCAACTGAAGGAAGAAAAACTGTGGGCTTGGGCGAATAATCTTCTTCAAGGTTTCTGTCTGTGGGGGAAATGGAAGAGCATTAAAAAGAACCGCTAGGGAAACCAGCATTGTGTTGTTTGGAACAACCCAGCATGAAGTGAAAGGAAGAAGAGATGTCATAGTATCAATGCTGACTTTAAGTGGTAATTTATCCACAATAGCTTGCGAAGTATTTATTGCTGTGCTTATTATTTTCAGTGGGAGTTTCAAGAGATTATGAGACTTGAGCCCGAAGTAACAGCTATTCACAGAGCCTGGATTAAAACCTGCCCTTTGTTCTCTCTCTGCATACTTTTAATTGTTCCATATCAGGAACATAAAATTTTTAATTGTTCCATATCAGGCTGCCAGCATTCAACACATTTATTTTAAAAAAATCTCTATTGTAATAGAACATGTTTTGAAGGTGGATGGTAGTGGAGATGGGAAAGGAGACCAGATAACTTTGGTGATACCTTCAAAAATAAAACTATTTGATCGCTTTTAAAGTAACTTCCTTGCAATTCTGTGAGTTTTGTAACTAAAGCACTTTGACCAAATAATACATTCTCAAGTTCTACGCACTGTGGACTATTACTCTTTACCTAACTTTTCTGACTGTGCCACATTTACTTTATTTCACATATAAATAAATGTCAGGAGCCTCCCTGGAGGCACAGGGTTAAAGACAGTGCTAATAAGCTATCCAGCCACTGAAGCATGAGTTTGATCCCAGGTCAAGAAGCTAACCCACATGGCACAGCAGACCTCTCCTGTCTCACCCCCTGCTCCCCTCAGCAGTGTATTTCAGTAGATCTGCCTGTTCTGCTCCCGTCTCTGGTGAATCCTCTCAGCCCCCTCCCCCACCTCTGGCTTACACCCCAGTTCTTGTATGCATAAATATAAATAAATCTTTAAAAATAGATAAATAAAATAAATGTCAGGTGGAAGACTGACTTTTTAAAAAAATTTCACAGTCTCTTGTTTTAATGGAATATGCTTCCAAGTATATTTATCAACTTATCGATGTATGAACAGCATATCAATTTATGAAGTTTGAAGTTTCAGCTTGAAACATGAATCCCATGCCTACTTTGATTCAATAGAGCTCTCCTAGTTAATTTCTAATATTTTATAACATTTGGGATTTTCAATGGGACAATATTAAATCTGGATCTCCAAAGCATAGAATTTAGATACAAAGTAGATATATTCTAAAATGTCTATGAAAAATTAACTGATTATTTTCAGAAATGCTCCTATATTATTCTTATCAAGTAATGTATCATAATTTTCTTTCAATTTAGGAAATGCTCAACAAAATCATATTTTATTTATAATTTAATTTGAAATTTAATCACAACCACCTTTTTTGACTTTATCTTTTCCTAGTTTGTATCTGCTCTGTGCAGATGGCTGCTGAGCTGTCTCAGAGTGCCACAATTTCCTATTTTCTTTTCACATGCTGAATAAAGTATCTACATAATTGGTCTCATCTTAAAAGTTATGGTTCCAGAGTTATTTGTAGACATAGTGTCAGACTAGATCACAAAGCATCATATATTTTAAAAGGTCTTTCATTTGAATACTAGAATGTTACTTGTTAATGCATTTATTATTAATTAAATGATTGAAATTATAAATGTTATAACTCTTCTAACTTGAATTCCAATAGAAACTCATAGTTTTTTAACTAACAGTTTCTTTGGGTTAGCTTTGAGTTAGTTTAATAATTCAGTGTAGCAAATGCTCATGAAAAAAAGAATTAGATTTCTCTTTTAAACTAAGAAGGAAAAAAATTACTGAGGATTTCACCTGTGTAGCAACGCTTGTGATAGTCACACTAAATCAGGAAGCAAATAATGTTGACTTTTGATCATGTTGAAAATATAACTAACTCACCTTGTGCTTCTATCACTTTCATACATTCTGCTTTTAGTGAAATAGTATTGTAGATTACAATCAGATTATAACTGTAAATCGGTGTGTATTTCTCCAAACTTATACTGTCTTTTTAATTTAAAAATAAGTTAAAGTTTTTCAATAGTACATTACATTTACAAAATTTTCATCTCTACTATATTACATAATCTAATTTGATTCTTAGAAACCCATTTTCTTCATAGGACTACTTCTAATCATTATGCTAATGAAATGGAAAATTAGTTGGTACATCAAGTTTCTATATGATAACGCACTATTCTAGCTTCCTATTCCTTTTCCTTAGCTAGATTATTTAAATTTTATTCTTCTTAGGATAAAAGTTTTAAATTTCCATAACTTTCCTCAAGAAAGAGATAACTAGATTATTTATTATGCAGTTACTGCTTACATTTTAAATCTTTATATTACAAGATTTTTTCCTTAAATATAATTTTTAAAACTTATCAATGTTAGTTTTATTGTGGTCAAAAAAATTTTGATGATACATAGAAAGGAAAACAGATTTAAAAAATAAAATAACTGTCCATTAAATTTTCATATTCAAATAATACATTTGAGGTAAATGTCTCAATTGTTTGTATTTCATTAAAATCAATGAAATTTAGTATGGATTTCATATAAATATACCAATTGTTAAATGTTTTCAATCGAAAATGTGATTCTCCAAAGCTGTATATTGATACTGACTTACGTTCTATCTATGTAATACATTCTATCGATGTAATACTGAGTGGACAGCAAGATAACACTTCATTTGAACAGCTAGAAATGCAGCTGAATCCTTTAGAAAATGTCTGATCAGTCAGTGCTATTGGTTGTAAACAATTCTCCCCTGACATTTGACATGTATCAGCCTAGCCCTCTCATGTGTTAGACAATGTTTCGAATACTTTGTTCACACTACCTCATTTGGTTCTCACCCAACCCTTGCTGGACACATACTGTTTATCTTATTTTATGGGAAAAGAAAATGAATCCAGAAAATCAACACCAAGCTCTAATAAGTGGAAAGGGTTGGAACCAGAACTCCAGGTGGGTCTGACTCTAAAGTCCTTAACTCTTTTACAATAACATTTCACCATCAGAAAAGAAAATTTGTCAATTTGTAAAACTTATCTGTAATAATAACTTTGCCCTTGGGGGCCTTCCTGGGGGCACAAGGGGTTAAGCACAGCGCTATGAAACTATCCGCAGCCTCTGCAGCATGAGTCGAGTTCAAGCCCTGTCAGGGAGATACCCACATGGCACAGCAGACCTCTCCTGTCTCGTCCATTGCTTCCCTCAACAGTGTATTTCAGTCAGTCTGCCTTTTCAGTTCCCCACTCTGTCCTTTCAGTTCCCCACTCTGTCCCTGGGGAATCCTCTCCACCCCACACAACACTGGCCTGTACCCCAGTTTTTGTATTCATAAATAATCTTTAAAAAAATGAACTTTGTCCTCAGGCCAAACATTTTCACGTAACTACATAGATTATATATGCAGCACTTTCCACAACAGCACATGTACACAAAACCAATCCTGTTCCAGTATCTGCACAATGTCCATGAGATCATTTAATACAAAAGTGTTTTAATATCTCTCCTAAGACTTCCAAATCAAATCCTCATCACATTCCTGTTTTTTTTTAATATTTTTATATTGTTCCAATATAATTATTTCATGCCTTTCCCTATTAATTGAAAAAAGATTGCTTTCTCTGATACTTACATGTAACAACAACCTTTGTTCCGTCACCGAATTTTTTTGTATAATCAGTCCACAATGATTTAACCCATTGCAAAAACTTCAGTAGACTAAGCTAGCTTCTCTGAGCACCTCAGGTTCTAGTGTAACTATGATGGCCTGCAATTGAGACCAAGTTTCTGCTGCTGATTTATTTTGCTCAAAAAATTTCCATGGTTGAACAAATTAAGGGAATTAAGTTGTCGTGTTTTATTATCTGAAACCAATAAATTTAGTGTAAGTCTGTTCAAATCCCTATCTGTAGTGAAGTGAAACAGATCCAAAATGAAACCAAAAAACACCAAAACGAACACGGTCTGAAAAGCAATTTGACTAAAAATGCAACTGAAATAGAAGATTATCATTGTTATTATGCATTTGTTTGATGGGTGTGTGCTCTGACATGACATTTCATCTTATGCCCTTTACTAACAGGATTCTATATGCTGGGGTTGCAAATAGATCCAAAGTAAATTAGGAAAAAGGCTCATTACTTCAATTGGACTCCACTTTATTCTAATATGTCCTGAATTCATAGCCAAAATCAGAGTTAACCTGGCTTTCACATGTCACTTAAGGCAATCACGTCTCTTATCTACATTAACCTTTGGCTAATAAAATCAAAGAAGACTTCATTTATAGTGTAATATATGTGATCAGTGCATGAAACTATTTCATTTGTGTTGTCCACATAAAATGGCTCTTTTCCCAACCCACAGTCTAATCTACTTGCATTCTACCTTCATCAGAAATTTCACACTGAAACTGCCATCTATCTAGCTCATACCTAAAGTTCAGCTGCAAACTACTTACCACAGGCCTTCAAGATAAATGCCTAGAGAAATGCCCTCCTCGAGTCACCTTAGGTCACTAAAACATTACCTGCCTGACCATATCTGCTGAGGGTCCCACCTGTAAAAGCCGGCCCAAAACAAAGTTGCAACAGAGTGTAAAGTGGGTTTGTTTAAAGACCATTATCTTTTATTTTATAAAATGGATATTGATGTGAATCCATGTCTGCTTCAATTTTCTTCTCAACAACTTATGTATTGATTACATTGTAGGGAAAACATATCATATTTGAAAACTTGCGGTACTTCACTTAATCCAACGATAAAAAGTATTGGATCCACTGCATTTTTTTCTCCTACCTTTGAACTCACTTTACAAAATTTTACCCTGAGCTTCTTGCTAGATGATCACTGTCCTTTTCTCATCTGCTTTCCTTAGTGCTTTTGCGCTTCTATTTTTTATTTCGCTCTGACAGTATGTGTGTATTTTATTTTAGGTCTTTTTGCGTTGATTTTGGAAATGGGCACTTTAAATAAGTGACAAAAAGTTTGTACAGTTTAGTTTAGTAAGGTCTATCTTCAGTATGATAAGATGGATGGAATAATATATTTGTAAAATCCAGTTTTGTGATATAAACAAAAAAATATGCTGAATGAAAGTGCCAGAACATAGGTGAGACATTTTTACCCCAAATCATCCCTCATACTACATGGTTTATCTTGTTTAGGTCTTGTGCAAATTTTCACATTAAAAGATGTTCTTCTAATACTGTATTAATTAAGAAAATTTACTGCTTGGACAAGACAACACCCTGAAATAAACACAGTTTGTGCAGTTTTGTTGCAAGAAATTTAAATCCGGGCTTCCCCGGTGGCGCAGCGGTTGAGCGCGGGGTTGCGAAGCTGCCCGCAGCCTCTGCAGTGCCGGTTCGATCCCCGGCTGCTCCCCGGCCACCAGAGGAGGGTCCCACATGGCGCGCAGACCTCTCCTGCCGCCCGCTGCTCCCCTCAGCAGTGTACTTCGGTCCTTCTGCCTGCTCTGCTTCCTGCTCTGACTCTGGTGAATTCTCTCACCCTCCCGCGCTTCTGACTGTACCCAGTGCTTGTATGAATAAATAAATAAATCTTAAAAAAAAATTTGGAAAAAAAAAAAAAGTGTATCTTAAAAAAAAAAAAAAGAAAAAAAAAAAAAAAGAAATTTAAATCCAATGAAGAAATTTTAACATGGATTTGATAAACATTACTTGGAGTTAAAGTCACTATATTTCATGTTGCACATATGCCAAATGAGATAATAAAAGGAAGAAGGGTTTTTTTGCAAATAGGTTAATTGTCTCATCATATAAAATATCCAGTGACATTATCATATAGGGATCCAAAGCAAACTCTCAGATATATAGATATTTCAGATATATGCGAAGATTCTGAACAAAAATTTTAATGAAATTGAGGACAAAAATATCATTCTTCAAACGATATTTTCATTTTTATAATTTTTGCATTTGTAAAAATATTTAATTACTATTGTGTCTTTTAAGAATTGCTATACTTTGGGCATCCCTGTTGGCTCAGGGGTAAAGTCTCAGTGCTGTTAAGCTATCGTCAGCCACTTTGGCATGAGTTTGAGCCCCAGACAGGGAGCTGACCCACAAGGCTCAGCAGACCTCTGCTATCTCCCCCGCTGCTCCCCTTAGCAATGTATTTGAGTAGACACACCTGTTCTGCTCCCCACTCTGTCTCTGGTGAATCCTCTCATCCCTGCACCTCTGGCTTACATCCCAGTTCTTGTATGCATAAATAAATAAAAATAAATCTTTTTTAAAATGAATTGCTATATTTTATAGTTATAGCTAATTCCAAAATTTATATTTTCTGTAACTTTTCACAAGTTATACCAAATTGCATATTTAGCATAGGAATTATACAATATTTTTCTTCATCTAGGATGAAACATAAAATTATGAAAGAATAGCTTAACCAAGTGATAGTATTCGTGTTTGACGCTTGATCATGGGTTTTCACTTGAGGAGATAGGTTTTAAGGAAATATATTTTATTTTTAATTGATGTAGCATTGGTTTCCAACAGTATAAATGACTTAGGGGTATAATGATGTAATTTCAAACTCAATACGAATAATCCAATTAAGATATGAAATAATATAAATGGGTACTTGACTTTTTATTTGTATCATTATGTTTATATATTACAGCTTTAAAACATAACCATTTCTTTTTCCAGATTTGTCCACCAGAAAAATGAGGGCTCTCACCGGGCAGGTTGTAGGGGCTTCTCAGGCCCTGCCTCCCACTGGCCCACCTGGGGTTCTGATTGGTGTACTGGCCCCTCTTCCACATGGTGAGTCCTGGGTTGCTTAATGAGCAGACCAACAGCCATCTTGCATGTGCAGCTTCTGCTTCTGCTGAGAAGCCAGGTGCCTTCTTACATGGAAAGTTCCTGCTTGGACTTGCATCTCTATACCAAGGACACCAACTTGGGTAGGAAAGACTTTATCCAGCCACATGTCAACCTATAAATTTTCTCTCTCCTCTCCCATTTTCACATTTTCATTATTACTTATCTCTATGTGATGGATTTTGGTCCTGTCCTGTATTATTAAGTGCAACAAGTGAGGACCCACCAACCATGACAGCTCCTCTCCTCAGTATTTCCTCCATTTCCAATTGCTTATAGTTTTGCATCATTTCTTCAGTTTTGATTATAACTTCATAGTTCACAAATTTCATCTGAATTTGGCAGATCATCAAATGCTATGAATCTCAGATGTCATTTAATAATTTGGTTGCCATCTTGGAACAAAAATATAATTTGTGCATTTTTTGTCATGTTGATTTTAATTTGGAAATTTCGATGATGTCATAAATTTAGTACATGAGAGCCTCCCCAATGGATCAGGGTTGAGCGCAGCCTTGTGAAGCTGTCTGCAGTCTCTGCAGCATGGTTTGAGTCCCCACCGGGCAGGGAGATACCCACATGGTGCAGCAGACCTCTCCTGTCTTGCCTGCTGCTCTCCTCAGCAGTGTTTTTGGTCGCCTGCCTGTTCTGCTCCCCGCTCTGTCACTGGTGAATACTCTCACCCTCCTGTGCCTCTGGCCTATACCCCAGTTCTTGTATAAATAAATAAATCTTTTTAAAATAAATAAATAAGTAAATTTAGTATATGAATAAGTTCTGAAAAGAAAGAAATCTAGGGTTATAAAAAAAAAGTAAACCTATTATCTGACACATGCAAGAGGTAAAAGTATATGCTATGTGTGAGCCACCAGCTTTCTCAGTTTCATACAATACACAATGATTTTACCCACTGCTTACATGATATCAGATATGTTTTCATAAATCACAGAGGGTCATTGGAAAGTTCTCAGTTTACTTGTTTATAAAAACTCAGGGCAGTTTTGGGGAGAAGACATTTCATTTTATTTTCATACTATTTCTTCAACTTAGCATTTTTACGGTTTGTGTTCCTTCTTAACTTTTTGATCTTTTGGTCTCTTATGGTGTGTTTTTGCACTTTGGGTACTTAATGTGGCACTATTCAAATAGTTCTTAATTTATACAACACTCAAAGGCAAACATGTTTGATAAAACACTTATTTGTCTTGTTTTTAAGTGATATGCATGAAACACACTTGTATGGGGGAAATTTTTCTTGGGAAGTAAACACTCTAATTTAGCTCCAAATTTCCTGTCCACGTTTTTTCCACCTCTGGTATAACATCACAAGCCATGGCTTTGGAAGTGAAAGGAAGAACATTCATAAAATGGGGTCTGCTGTGAATTAGGCACCATCCTAACATTCATTTCTATTCAGCAACACATATAAAATGGTTAATGCTCTTCAAAAGGAGAGAAGGAGCTCAGAGTTATGATTTCAGACTTGGCAGGAATTTGAGTTCAAGTTTATAAGATTTAAATTTTTTTACTATATTACCTTGGAAGAGTTGCAAAGATGTGTATAGCAGGGACATAATTTCCAGATTTGTGTAATATAGAGGATCTGTATCTAAAATGATCAGGTAGAAGCTACTGGTTATTGCTTTATGAGAATCACAAGAAATATCAACACAAATGAAGCAGGTTAAGTAGTTTGTTTGTATATCCCAAATAAGACATAGGAAGTGAGTGCCAGCAGCTAGCAAGAATCTGTGAAGTTTGGCTCTAACTCAATATGACCATCTCATGAAATCCCATAATTTAGCTTCTTTTAACTTGTCATTGA